TTATATACAGCACACTCAATAACTTATTACTCAGCAACATTAGTTTGGAATGAGTCATTTTAAATGTTCTTGGCTACAAAGTGTCTCAATATAAAATTTCAAGCCAAAGTAGCAATAGTGCTGGTTTCAGACTAATTTGCCTTTGCTTGGTTTAGTTGTCTAATTAGTGCTTGTATTTGACAAGGTAATGTTTTAGAATTCTTATCAGATATCCTTGTGTTACACATTCAAACACCTGTAGAAATAGAAACTTGTTAGTATTCTAATTTACCAAATTAAAATGAAATTTAATACTAATCTATAAACCAGAAATGAAAATCACCATCTGAAACTAGTAAAAGTACCACTGAAGATACGGCAATGAGACTCATCAAAAAGTTAATCTTAGTACAATGATGCACACAGATAAAGACACATTCTATCCCGAGAACAATATTAATCCTCAATGGGTAAAAAGTACAAAATATAACTGCGTAGTGGTATAAGGTTCCCTAACCACTTCCAAGAAAGTCCTTTCTGTTGCCAAAAGCTTTTTGGAGCTGCAAACGTCAAGACTTACTCAGACTGCTATGCTGGACAGTATTGTATTCTGAATCATTCTGGGGCATAAATATTTCCTTTGTGAACCTCTTTGAGGCCACAGATATTTGAAGTTAGAAGCTACAGTTTTAAATGCTTATGTGTTTATTCTTAAAGGTCACTCTTGGTATATTTTATGGAGATCATATAAAGCACTCAAACTAAATTATACTATGGAAATGTGTGTGTGTGTTTTAAGTAGTAGATTTAAACAAACATAATCCATGAAGCTGTTAAGAGGTCTGCTTTATACTTTGGAGACAGGAATATGTCCTCAGCACAGAAAAAGAATCTCAATTCCTTCTTCACAAATTATGCAGTTTCAACATGCACAGGAAGGGGCTAAAGTCAAGATTAGGTGGCTAAAACTCAGGGTGTGCATCTACATGCAGCAGAAGTGAAGTGGAAGAGAAACAGGTTGGGCTGGATCAGAGAATCTAGTCACAGGATTGAAATGGCCACTATAGAGTTGTTCTTCAGCTGCTTCAGGGCTCAGGAAGGGAGATACCTCCCTCCCCTCTCCCATCTGTCTCATGCTCAGCACAGCTTTTTGAGCTAGGCACAAGGATTTGGCCCCAAGTACAAGCACTGTGTGTTTTATATAATCGGACAACTCAGAAATCACTGACTTTGAAGATCCCAGTTCACATCCAATATAAAATCCACTAGCACAATCCATCTAACACCACTGCAATAAAACTTCCATGGAACTCACAGTAAGTGAAATACCCTGGAGGAATAGGCCTACTCTCCTAGCCAGTACCAATATTTTTATCCTTATTCTTTAATTAAATTCTATCCATTAGTCAATAGCCAGGCTCCTGGTCCTCTCAGGCATATTAACAGAGATGCATACTTTAGTTAAAGGCTTTGGGAAATGCAACGTGTTCAATGACAAGAAAAAGCAAGAGAGATTAATAGTGGTTAGGGAATGGCACTTTTTCTGTATACAACAGAATGAAAAAAGGTTTTGGGGGTAAAAGGGTGTTGAACACAATAAACAACCTTGAACCTACTATTCCAGCCACACCTCTATTACTGATACTATGAAAAGAGAAAGACTTAGTTAAGTTCCTAACCCATGGCGGCATATTGCGACACCAGAAGATAATGCTGCTTTGACCACAATGTGTCAGTATTCATTCCTTTCTCAGATGGCATCAAATCAGATGATCACAGTTAGACTGAAGAACAGAAGGGAGCTTATTTCAGGACACATATAGTCTACTTTAGATTGCATATGTATCCTTCTCCTTTGACATTCATCATTGTCTTGTATTTCTACGGACACTGGGTCAAATCAGACACTGAGTTAGGAATTAGGAGTACAAGCCATCCGAGTCTGAAGGAGTGGCTGCTAGAAAGACTGTTTTCATAGACAAGTATAAAAGGGAACAGGAAGCCATAGGTTCAAAGGGAGGCCTTGTAAGGCACTCGAGCACCAACTTAAGATCCCATGCTGGTGTAGGACATCTAATTTGTGGGAAGAAGTTCTCCAGTCCTGTCAGAAACCTCCTTGCTGTAGGATGAGTGAAGACAGAAAATCCCTCTATACCATATGATGAAAGGCCATATTAGCTACCAAGTGCAGTCTAATGAAGCTTAGAGACAATCCTGCCATTTTTAGCTCTAAAATGTAATCCAGTATAGCTGACAATGGAGAGGATATAGTGAAAGATGTCTTAGAGTATACCAGTGACTGAATCTCATCCACTTTTGTATGTAGATACCACAAGTGAACTATTCCATATTATGTAACATCACTCTCTCTTTACATCCTCAGACAAAGTTGCTTTTAACCCTGTGAACCCTGTATCACCAAGCCTTGAACTGAAGAAGCTCGAGGTTGGTGTGAAGGTTTTGGTCGGTATCCTGTCAGAGAAGACGGGAAGGCCTGGAAGGTAATTGATTGACAAACAGATATCTGGATGAAGTAAGGGAAAAATCTTTGTCTAGGCCACATCAGAACCACTAGAGTTACTCTGGGCTTTGTTTTTCTTATCTGGAACAGCTTTTGAATATCAATGGAGTTGGGGGAATGCACACAGCAGACTTGAACTCCAAAAAACAGTGAAAGGTATCCCCCCTGGGAATGATGACCCAGTTCACCTCACAAGCAGAAGTGGATCCTCAACTGTATTTTGGACTTTCCTCAGAAACCGTGACAGCTGAAGCCAGGAGGGCCTCCTCGTGACTACTGCTATTGAGTGGAGAGACAGACTGAGAGGCTGTATCAGTGGCTTTCAGAGAAGTCTGCAGAGATGTTCTTGCCAGATGCTGACCTTCAGCAAGGATTGCCTAAAATTGGTTTCCTCTAATCCACTGAAGATGCTCAATAAAGACATTCAGCAATGAATAGTTAGCATGGGTCTATTTCACCATGAGAGCTTGTAGTTGGCAATCCTAAATTGTAGAGCTGAGACTTATGGCCATATAAGTTGGGTTACTTTAGGTCTCTAATATAAGGTATTGATTTAGCATGGTGCTGTCTTCGATATTCATTTACACCATTACCTACAAGAGAGTTGGGCTGTGGATGCAAATACAAAAATTCTGAATCCTTACAGAGAATGTTATTTTTTGTCTGTCCTCTTATAGGTAGATGGTATTGTGGCCAGGGTGTGTCAAATTATTTTTGCATGTTCTAGCATGGCTTCATTAATCAGTAGCATGGTATGGGCAAATGCTGATGTGTGCAGAACATCTAGCAGCTTATATACAGTGACTTCTTAACCTCCTCAATTGGAATCTGCAAGGAATCCTCTTCCCTTTTAATAAGGCCCTGGAATTGTTTAAAATCATCAACCAGTGATAGTGGAAGAAGCATGGACACATCATCTGGAGAGGGGAAAGAGAAGTTAGCCATTGGGGGGGGATTTCCTTGTCCACCTCCTGCTCCTCAAAAGAGCTCTTGTGAATCAGGCACCCTGAGGGGAGAGGAAGCTGGTGGAAATTGTCTACTCTTCTCTTTATGAAATACACTAAGGGCCCTAGAGAACTGCTGGCAATAAGCCACTATGGGGTTCCATGTGATCTATGAGGTGATGTGCATGGCAGGAGTGGAGGCAGCACCAAAGGCATCCATAGCAGAAGCATAGAATCATAGAATACTGGAACCAAAAGGGACCTCGAGAGATCGAAGCATAGGGCATGTCTCTCATTGGGATGGGTGTCTCAGGAAAGAAGGTTCCCTGATAATAGAAGGAAGATGTGGTAGACTGATGAGAATGCCAGCAATGGTTTGAATATACTGATCTGTGCACCAATTCCAGACTTTTACCACTTCCGCCCAGGGAGATGAAGAACATGCTCATCCTTGATGATTAATAACTCACTCATGCCACATTATCTGTCACCGACTTACATGACAGTAACTTCAGAGTCAAGGATTGTGTTACTAACCCACAGAGGAGTTCAACAATTACATTTTATATTGGAATATAGGTCATGGAAAATATATATCATGGCTCTATGTAAGTCAATGGACCAGTGCTAAATTAAACCACCAGAGAATTGCACTGGTATACAAAGAAACCTTAGGTTGAGGAGTAGCCAAATAAGAGATCTGTGCCATAATTATTTCAAGTCAAAATTCATGATATAGTGCTTTCCATGATTTAAAGTTAGAACATAATCCAATTATTTTAATGTCAAATTTATCACATACACATATAAAGCATAAAGACAAAATAATGCAATGTGTTTTGCAATAAACTGAAGAGTACAAATTTCGCAATACAACATCCTCTGTTTTTAGTCAGAGCAACAAAGACACGAACTCAATATCCTTCAGTAAACTCAACTTCTTTGTGAAACTATACATCATCAGAGTCTTAATCCAGAGCTTCATCTCGTATAAAAGAGCATGGCTCTATATAAATCAATGAACCAGTGCTACATTATACCACCAGAGAATTGCACTGGTATACAAAGAAACCTTAGGTTGAGGAGTAGCCAAATAAGAGATCTGTGCCATAATTATTTCGTCAAAATTCATCTGGATTTGATTTTTCCTAATTTGCCTTTCACATCACTTATATATTTAAAAAAAAAAGAATTTCACTGATGTTCAGTACCTAAAACACTTATTTGAAATTCACGACAGAGGAAAAAAAATACCAAACATTTGCTTTATTGCTGCTATCTTGTTTTAATCTAAAAGTAAGAAAGGTAAAATTCCTAACACACTAGTTGTATGTTTTGAAAACATTTGCAAAGTAAATTAAAGTACTTTCTCTGTAGTTTTGGAAAACAAAATCCAAAATTACTGTCTTTGTAAACCAAAACAAATATTGAAAGTCTCATAATTTTGCTCCCCCTTGATAAGGGGAATTGAATTAGGGGACTTATTAATTTCAGCTCCACTCTTTAAACTTTACAGGTGAGAAAGCAAGTGGAGAAAAAAAGGAAGGTTAACTTACCTGTTCTAGACTGAGTTTTCATCAGCTCCTGAAGGTCAGTGGTGATTTTGGTGACCTGCTTATGGAACTGTTGGACAGAATTTTTGAGGCCAGAAATGTTTTTGGAATAAGATGTCATGGTTCCATTCATCTGATTGATGCAGTCCCATAAGCTAGTGACATGCTTGTTTAGACCTTCTTTTATTTTCTGTAGGCTACCTGAGATGGAGTCCATTTTGCTGCAGACTTTTTCTACTTGGGATAGTCTGCTATCCACATCTGAGATTCCCCCTTGGATACCATCAGTGTTTTCTTTACATTTCCTGAGGTCATTAAAGATTTGTTCTTTTAGCTGTTCCATCCTCTCCTTTACCTCATTACAGCAATTACCATTTTGGTGATAAGTTTGATTCACAACTGTTCTCTGTATTTCATCTATTTTTCTGAATACATCTAGCTGGGTCTTTTCACATGTAGAGTTGACACCCAGAAGTTGTTCCTTGCAGCTGTTCAAGCCAGCCTGAAGATTTTTCACATCTTTATCAATGATGTTTAGACCATACCGAAATCTACGCAAATCCTTATGGATGATCTGCTGGTGGTTCTTACTAAAGTTAAATTTCTCATTAAGGGAACCATTTAAAGACTTCAAAAGAGCAGAGTGGTCTTCTACTTTCAACAGCAAGTATTCATATTTGTTACTACAATTTTCTATGCTTTTCTGAAGGTTTTCCATATGTTGAGGGGCAGATTGGCATTTCTGCCAGCAAAGGTGTTCAACAGCTTGTAGTTTGTTCCTCAGGAGATACACCTCAGATGCAAGTTGCTCATTTCCAGATACCAAGTCACTGCGCAAAACTGATTCTGATTTATTTGATATTCCATCTGAGGCTGTGGCATTGGCAATTTCTAAAATAGTACCACCCAACCTGTCTTCCAGTGCCTGCAATTTTTGATCAAATAAGTCTCTGACTTCATCCACCTCAGCAGCTATCGCACGTCGGAGAGTTTCCTCAATATAAAAACAATGTTCTTCAGCATTCCTCTCTGTAACATTGATCCTAGCTTCTAGCTCCTCCCATCTTGGGCCAAATTGCTCTTCTAGACTTGGAGTGGAAATATGAATGATTTCATTATCTATTCTGGCGTTTAAGATTCTGTTTGCTTCCATAACTCTCTCAACTTTCTCATCCAAATTTTTTATTTTTTGACCAAAGTCGTCACTGTTGCTAGGTTTGCAGCAATTTGACTGGTTTGCAGAAGCCTGGATCTGAGTTTGGAGCTCATTTATTTCTTTCCTCAGGTCATTTTCCTTTTCTTCTACAAGTTGAATTATTTCTGAACAGCTAGTTTCATGGTCATCACACTGTTGCTGGATATCCATCATTTTGTATTCACATGAGTTTTTCAGATCTGCCATTTTCTTCTCCAATCCTTCCAGCATTTCCTGTCTTAGGGCCTCAAATTTAGAATCTAGATATTCTTGATATAAATCACCACTTGGTATTGTTACTGTAGGTCCTCGCGCTGCTTCCTGTAGTTGTTTTAATTGCCCTTCATAGCTTTTCACTTTCCCATTCAGTTCTTCCAGCTTGTCATTTTTTATTTTCAAGGCATTTTTTACTTCAGCTAGCTCAGACTTTATATCTTCCATTGCAAAATCAGTAAAAGGTTCTCTGTGGTTTTTATTGCCAAGGATTCCAGGCAGATGAATGCTGTCTGTTTCACCACCCATGGCACTATCAGGTCCTGGGTGATCATGAAGGTTGTTCAGCCATGAGACTAACATCTTACTGGCATCTTCTTGGACAGTAAGTTTCAGGTTCTCATTTACACCTGCTAAGGAGGATTGAAGATCAAACACCGTCCGTGAAAGTCGAAACAATTCATCCTCAAGGAATTGAATTTTCTTCTCATGTGATTCCTGTGGCACTTCTGTTGGTTCTGAGTCTGTTTTAAAGACACAATGGAAACAAAATCTGGATGTAAGTATGTCTAACGATAACAGTTCAGAACAGCTGGAAGTCCTTGTTGTCAATGGCTGACAATTCAATCATCATCAGTTCACTCCAAGCTAAAACACTGCAATAGTGTTTTGGCAGCATCCTCCACTAAAGATCAAAAGGATCCTTACACCTGTTGCTTCTTGGCACACCCAGGATATCTAGCCACTGGTATACACATTAAATAACTATAATTTACATAAATGATTTTAGAGCCATTCTCTCTCTCATAACAATTAATACTGGTCATGCTATAAGCAGAAAACAGCTTTGCTTTTTTTTCCTGCTCCTGAAATACTTCCGAATAAGGCACTAACTGCAGTGGGACCATGGATGGGCTTGCAGTTAAGCTTGCCCTTAAATATCTTGCTGAACCAAGGTCTAAGCCCATTTATATGATGGAGTAATATAATTTCCATGGTTCTAGCTCTACTTATGTGCATTTTCTGCAAGCAAAAAATAGAAAATGAAAACAGAAATTCTCACATACAAAGAAAAGTATTAGATCACAATACAATTTATTTGCTTTTGTCAAACAAAGGTAAAAATTTAGTCTTATAGTTGAAACTCAGTTCTTTAATAACTGCACTTCCATTGCAAGGTAATATATGGGCAAGATATAGTGAACAATTTACATAGAACATATTAAAAGATCTACTCAGTGTTGATTGTGTCCTTAACTCAAATAACGTTTTTTGGGGAGGAGGGTTGTGTTTAAATCATAGTCCTGGGGTGGGACTGGGAATGAGGGGTTCAGTATGCTGGCTGCCCCAGAGAGAGGGGACAACCCCAGGCATCCCTCCCCGCAGCAGCTTAGGGTCAGGTGAGAAGCACTCCTCCCTGGCTGCTGCATCTTGCAGTGGATACAGCTGGGGGAGGGGTCATGTTCCCCAGCTCACGGACAGACAGACACGCAGACAAACTCTCTGAAATATATTGTAGATAGCTGTCCCTTTCACCACCCTTGCTGGTCCAATATGGTTATAGCTGTCCCAGTCCCCGTCTCTGGCCCCTTGCTGCCCTATGTGGTCATTCTGCAGTGTAAATGTCCCTCCTGCCAGGCCCCTCCCTTTCCATTTTCTGAGAAACAATCAAATTCCAGGCACATCCCATTGTCCTGGCACAACCAAACTCTGACTTTGCTTTAAGTTATGATAAGAGGAAGCTGCATAACAAATCTGGTGGTCCTCGCTCTTACTGTTCAGGAGGCGTTCTTGAACAAATGGAGCACAGAAGATCTATAGTAAGACTAGAAGATTTACCTGGCATTGCTTGGGTCCTTAGCTCCATTCATTTTTGTTTTTTGGAAACTAAAATGAAAGTGCACATGCTTCAGTTTAATTGGGGTGGAAACCTCAAGCCTGGGGGCTGGATGTGGCCCCCAGCTTGCCTGGATCCAGCCCTCAAGGCTCAGAATTGGGGAACCCACGCTGGCACTCCAGCCCCAACCCAGCCACCCACCTGCAGGACTGGAACACACAACATCTACTAGCCTGGCCCTCCACAACTCTGGTGCAGAAAAGAAAAGTGGGGAGTGTCTTTCTCCTTCTCTGTCAGGGGCCTCTCACTTGTGTGCAGCTTCCAGCTGATTTTTCTGTGGGTAAGTGGCACCTGAACCAAAAAATTTTCCCCACCCCTGATTTAAATCATTGCTCTGGGGTGGGACTTGGGATGAGGGGTTCAGAGTGCAGGCTGCCCTGAGGAGAGAGAGGACTAACCCAGCTCTCTTGCACCGCAGCAGCTTGGGGTCAGGTAAGAAGCACCTTTCCATGGTCTCTGCAGCTCCAACAGGCACAGCCGGAGAAAGGCTGCATGTTCCCCAAAGGGGCCAGGGTTCATCTGCCTCCTGCACTTCCCAGCCAGAATGAGGAATGCAGCAAAATTCTCTTTCCCCTTGCTCCCTGATGAAGCACTGCCAGCAGTGTTCCAGTATGAATCTGGTGTGGGCTTCAGCCCCCCCACCTACCCTCTCTGATGTGTGCCTTAGGGGTGGGAGGCTCAGGGCTAAGGCAATCCTGGAAGAGGGTGCTCCCCGCCAGCCCCATGATTTTGTCTCTTTCCTGTATGATTTTATGCGACACAATCTCATTCCAGGCACATCCCATTTTCCTTAACAAACCCCTAACTTGCTTTAAGTTATGATAAGAGGAAGCTGTACCAAAACTAGTGGTCATAGCTCTTGCTGTTTAGGAGCAGTTCTTGAACAGACAGACAAACTCTCTCAAATTTATAACAGACAATATATTCATACATACTCAGACTTGTGTCTGTAGGTGAATACAGACATATAAAGGGTATATACAGAATAGTAGAGACACAACGTGGGTGAGGGAATATCTTTTATTGCACCAATTTCTGTTGATAGACAAACTTTCAAGCTACACAGCTCTTCTTAGGTCTGGGGAAAGTATTCCGTATGCCACAGCTAAATACAAGGTGGAACAGATTAAATATAAGTTAACAGATATTTTAAGGCAGCAGTGGAGAAGCTATAGCTGGTGGGCCAGATCTGCCCCATCTTCCCTTGATCCAGCCCATGGTGAGACTCAAGGCTTCCTTTCCCCTCCACACCATGGCCAGCCGGCGCTAGCTTTCCAGCCCCACTGCAAGTCTCTATTCCTTGGTGCCCACCCGTGGAGCTGGAGCACTAGCACAAGCTCTGCCCTGCTGTGGGGAGAGCACGTGGGGAAGTACTGAGCCTCAGCATGGGCCAGAACAAAGGAGTCTGAGCATCCAGTGTGTGCTAGGAATGTTAAATTTTGATTAATCAGCTAATCGAGTAGTCAATGGAATTTCCATTGACTATTCAATTAGTTGATGAAGGGGGCACTCACCGTCCCCACTGCACCTCTGCCTTTTAAATATAATAAGAGCCACGGGGCCTTTTTTTCTTCTCAGGAACCAGGCCAGTCCTGTGAGGTTGGTTGGTTGGTTTGTTTCCTGAGAGCCAGAGCAGCAAGGGTTGTCTTCTATTTATTTTTTGTATCTTGAGGACCCAGGCCAGTGAGGTTTTTGGTTTCTCTCTCTCTCTCTCTGAGACATGGCCAGCGAAGTTTGTTTGTTTCTGTTTGTTTGGGTGGGGGTTAGTTCGTCTGTTTTTATTTTGCTTCTCTGGGGCCCAGCCAATGAGTGTTTATTTTTCCTTTTGCTTCTCACTGGTGTGTGGTCCCCACATGATTTTTCTTTGGGTCAATGGCCCCTGACCGAATAAAAGTTCCCCACTCCTGTTTTAAGGGACCGTTGAAGTTGAAGTGGACCATTAACATTTCTGAAGTCATAGGACAAAAACATGGGTTGGGGGGAGATTCGAGGTTACATATTCTTGTAATAAGCCATAAATGTATTATCTTTATCAACACACAATTATTAGGCCTGGTCTGCACTATAGCTTTTGAGTGATGTAAGCTGCCTCATATCAACTAGCTGTGGAAATGCCTTCCCCTATTTTTGGCTCTTACAGAATGATAATGGTGTTTCTGTTTTCTGCGTGAAACGTATAAAAGACAGGAACATTGCATCATCCAGAGGTAAGAACTTTCCATAAAACAGTTACTCAGTTCTGGAGTCTGTTCTCACGCACTAAGAAAACCTATATAAACACCTTCAAAAAAAGACCAGCCTGAGAGCTTACATTCATACCTTTGCTTGACCAGGACCATGTCTAACTTACATGGGCAGACAGCCACTGCAGTTATTAAATCCTTTGTGTGTGTGTATACTTGACTTGGTGTGTCAGAGGTGCACATCCTAACTCCAAGCACTTGTATCAATCGTATTTGTCAGTGCAAGGCATTGTGGGGTGACTCCCGAAAGCCGTAAGAGTTGATGCAAGCAATGCAATGTATACACTGACACTGTGTTGATTTCATTTCATTGCCCCTGATTTTATATCACTTGGGGATGTGGTGTTACTAGAGTGGTGTAGAGAGGCACTTACATCAGCAAGATGCCAAATTTAAATTAGGATGCATTCACAGCTAGGTCAACCACAAGACAGGTTACCTCAATCTAACCCTATAGCGTAAATCCAGCCTAAGCATTATACAATTAATTTATGGTTTATTACAAGAATCTATAATCCACTAACTCCTTCTCCCCCATGACTGCAAAAGTGTTAACAGGCCACATCAACTTGAATGGTCTATTATAATTTCTGTTAACTCATGCTAAACAATGTGTTCCATCTTGTAGCTGTAACACTCTGAGGACTTTTCCCAGACCTGAAGAAGAGCTCTGTGTAGATTGAAAGCTTGTCTGTTTAACCAACAGAAGTTGATCCAATAAAAGGTATTACCTTACGTACCTTGTCTCTCTAATATCCTGGTCCAACGTGGCTATAACACCTCTACAAAAATGAGAAGTATGTAGTGTTTAATTTTACATAGATAGCACCTTTCAAGCAACAATATCCAAAAGTGCTTTATAGAATTAAATCATATTGTTGCAGAAATAAATGCAAATAAAAGAAAGAAAAGTCAAGAAGGACAGGTAAAGGAGAAAAAATATGGTTTCAGCTGTGATTTGAAAAGAAATTAGAAAATGTTTGGTAGTGAAAGGATGCTTCAGATGACAAGTAAATGGCATGGGATGTTCCAGATGAATAAGGCTCTCTCTCAGATACTGACCAGACTGTGTTATGAGACCGGAAATGGGTGAGGTATTGAGGAGGGAAGCAGAATGAGACAAATCAGTGAGACAGGCTGGAACAAATCCATGAAAGATTTAAAAACACCGAGGGGACTTTTTTTAAAAGATCCTGAAATGAACAGAGCTGGTTGACGCCTTTAAGGATGGGAGTAATGTGATAGTACTTCTGTGTGTGTAAAGATGCTGACACCATTATTCTGTACATGCTGGGGTCCGGAGAGGTGAGGCCTGGGGAATCTGTGGAAAAGGAGTTCCAACTGTCAGAGTGAGATCTGGGGAAAAGTATGAAAAGGAAGGATCTTAGCAGTCGCAGATCTGAGGCATTTGTAGCCATGAAATTATATGGAACTGTTTACAAGTAGATTCACAGGAATATAAGTTTTAGAGTGACAAGTTTAGGGAGTAGAAACAACTTGGAGGAATATGCTGAGATGCAAAATAAAGGAGATGCAGTTCAAATTTTTATTTGTTTTAAAATTGGCATTTAACTGAAGGATGTTGTAAAGAAGCCACAAGTTTACCTAGTCAAGACTAGCAGAGGAAATTCTGCAGAAAGCATATGTGAATATGCACCAGAATTGTGGCTAGTGCAGATGCAGTGACCTATTTTTATTTGGGAACTTACTATAACAATTATGTTTTTAATCAGTCTGTGAGGAAAGACGCAAAGGCATAACTGTTCTGCTAGTTATTTGAAATACTTGCCAATGTTGGTTGTCCTTTGCCTGTGAATCAACATTATCTATTTTATTTTGTTGGAAATAGATTTTAAGTAGTACATAAATCATAGCAATCGGTTCACTGCCAACCCATACTACGTAACAAGTGCTAATGGTACATGTTGTACATGGTATTAATTTCTGATAAATGTTATAATAAATTCTTTCACAGAAGCCTTCTGGTTCATTGTCTTCTACTTAACTGAGACTAAAGTTAAAAACCATGTACATGTCATACCTTTCTGGTCTGGCAACATCTGTGATGGCCCTGGTGACCCCGGGGCTGGCCACAGAGTCAGGAATCCAGTGGTGGGGGACAGGAGAGCCCTACAGCTTGGAGGGGAGTCTGCTGACTGACCTCAGAGTCCATGAGCAGAGGGGGTGGAATTGACCTCCCCTGGTCCGGCAAACTCCCTCATTCAGGACCAGTCAGGTCCTGAGGGTGCTGGACCAGGGAGGTCCAACTTGTAATAACTGAACTTCATTTATCCTCACTGGAGCAGTGTCTTATGAAAACATAATTTACCCTTATGGGTTTCATCTCAATTGAGGTTTACTATTTATCGGCGCTTTAGGGTATATTAGTTATGTTTGGACTGGCTTTTACAAGTAAAAAACTACACAAGTATTATGCATTATTAGCAGGGCTTGACAAACAGTGGCAAAACCTACTCGCCAGTCCCGCACTGTGCATGCGCAAGACCCACATTGCACATGTGCGTGCCGCCAGTGAATGGGGTGACCGGCTGAAATCTATTCGCCATGATTTGTCAAGCCCTGATTATTAGTATGTAATTTACAATGATCATGTATTACAGCTATTGCTTTTGGTTCCACAGACATGCCAATCAAACTCATCTTCCCTGTAACACTCTGATAAAAATATTAAAACCTTTAAACTGTTACAACAAATAAGTCTCAGAGGGGTAGCCGTTTTAGTCTGTAATAGAAAACAAACAAACAACGAATAGTCTTGCAGCACCTTAGAGACCAACAAAAAAGGTAAATGGTATCATGAGGTTTCATGGGGACAACCCAATTCTTCAGATGAAAGAAGTTTAAGGGGTCCAGGTTCCAAATAAATAGCAGAGAAATTGAGGAGATGGGGAGGGAAAAGAAGGGAGGAAAAAATGGGAAAACAATAGTCTATTAGAGTTTCCATGCTAAATAAAGCTGATTGAGAGGGTTCTAAGTACTCTTAAGTACCTGGTGTTTGGCTTTTTATGTCATTAGGATGTGGAATGTAGCCAGTAATCCAGTTAAAACCTTTGTTTAAACCTCTATTGTTGACCACAAGGAATTTCCTGAACCATTACTGACCAGCATAGCTTTATGATCAGCCTTCGCACCCAATAATTCATCATTCACCAGGAAACACTTTGGATCAATATAGTAATTGCTTTGCTATTCCCTCCCACTATACAACATCTTGTATATTGGTTTTGGACTATTCAGTGAGCCATGTAGCAGAACCCACTTTTCTTTTGGTTCAAAGGATGAAATAAAAAACTAGACATGACCATGTATACCAAAATTCAAACAAAAAGTTACCCAAGGCTTTCTTCATAATAGTTCGTGGTGGTGCAGTGGGCAAGAGACTGGTTCTTGGTTGTTCTGCTGGGCCTTCTCTGCAATCTACACCTTTATAACCAGGACAACATCTCCATTCCAGTTCTGTTACTGTCTTATAAGCAATTCTGTACCGAGGTCTGAAACTCATACGGTAGCTGCCAAAATAGAGAGAGTACTTAAGTCATCTATAATCATTCAGCCATTTATATCAGACCTAGAATAAACAAGAACAGTAATCAATGATGATTAATGAAATTAATACCTAGAAAGATGTATTTTTCTCATCAATGGAATTTAGCAATTTATACATACACATTTATACCCCACTGTTAAGAGTTAACAAACATGACATGCTGCCCATGTAAATTGGGTTTTTGCACTATGAACTGATGGATGTAGGAGTAGAATGGAAAGTTACTGAGAGAGCTGGTGAGTACCAATGTTAATACTGCACTACTGATTCCATACTTTTTCCTCCCACTTTTTCTTACATCCTTTAACACATAGTAGCTGCTGAGTCAGAGCCATCATGAATCACATAATTAAACTTTTGCTGCCTATTCTGTCTCATTAAAATATACTTATTTTCTGCAGTGTATTGACTTAAAATATTTTTCAGAATCAGCATTTGTGATGTAGGGACCATCGTCGGAGTTAAGAAAGAGGTTCCTTCATTTGAGTGGCTTAAAGTTTGGAGGTGGGTACAGAATAGGGATATGAAGAACATAAAGGAAAGGTTTGGAATAATTGGGGAGGGAGAAAAAGGAAGATTAGAGTGAGAAGTAGGAAGGAGTTAAGTTGTAAAGGATCTTGAAGACAAATCTAAGTAAATGTGCACTCATCCGATGAAGTGGGTATTATCCAGAAGAGCTCATGATACTATATACTTTTGTTAGTCTAAGATGCCACAAGACTACTCATTATTTTTAAAAAAAGGATGTTATATGTATAGGCCAGAAGTTACTTGCATTATGAAGCTCTTCATCTCCTGCTATGCCCCAAAACCAGCTATGATAAATTTTCACACAATGTGGCTAGATTCTGGTGCTCTTGGTGGCAATGCTCAGGTGTTGTCTAGCCAAACAGTTCAAGATTATGAAATTACTATGTTCTGAACACATTACTCTGCAAGACCATGTAGCTTTGAAGCCCTAGAAAATGAAGCACCTTCTTTCTATAGTTTTTAATTACCCCTTTTCCACCAGCCCCCTTTTTTAAAGAGAAAAAAAAGCAGAAAAAAATAAATATACATAATTAAATGCAAAAAACTATATATAAAATGGGAAAACAATAGTCTTAACACTACCCTGTTAAGCACTCATGTCAGTAAATGACAAATGTGGAATGTGTAACCTTAATTTTGCACCAGGTGTTTACAAATTACAATTGTTAATGTGATTATCCCGAACCATTTCCAAATATCAAGATTTTCCACTATACATTTATATACACATGACATCAGGCCATCTTCTCCTTAGGAGCTTTTGTTGTATTTAAAACACAAACACACACACACACACACACACACACACCCCTCTCATTTCAAACTAAGAGATGAAGAAAGTAAAACAAAGACTATTTCCTTTAGCTATGTCTCTCTAAATTATTACACTTAAAATAAAAAGTAACATGAACAAATACATTGTTACCTCATTGTTTCAATAATGCTTCTACAGGGTGGATAAAATTAGTAACCTGTTGCTATCCTTATTGTATCCAGTATCAGTTTTGTTTTATCTCTCAGATGTGTTTAGTCTATCACCAGAAGTCACAGCTAGACGACAACAACACACACACACACACACACACACACACACACACACACACACACACACACACACACACACACACACACACTTCAGAATTTTAATGTCATTGGAGTAGTAATGCAGCAGAAGGGAAGATGGGATAACACAGGACTCAATAGAAGTTTTCCCATTAACTTCAGGACCACATGGAGACAGACAACACTGAAGAATGAGCACCACAGACAACAATCTGTCACAAAACTATGCATGAATGACTTTACTGATAATTTTTAACATTAAATTGGGAAGAGAGTTATTGTTTAAATAAGACAGAAATCAGTTACCAGACTGAAATGTTTAAATCTTGCTGTGATTAGGAAATAATTCTTAACACAAATTAATTAAATATTTTAACTGTTATATTTGCTGACTTTTCTTATCATATGCAAAAATATTTGCTTCAGTAATTAGACATATTTTATCCAACATCTTCTATTCAGTAAAAATATGTGTGTCACAATCATAATTTTAATATAATGTCCTACATCTGTTATTCATTTACTGTCCCTCTCTGATTTAATATGCTGCTCAGAGAACTTAGAGGAAAAACAATTATTTAAAATCTTTTTCTCTTCTAATCAAGTTTCTTTCTACACTCCACTATAATACAGTTTTATGAAAGAGACTGTTCCTGCCTTATTTTCATAGCAATCTCTAGTTTGAAAAATAATTATTGGACTGTGAAAATAAGTCTGTACTTTTTTCATTTTTTTTGGCAGTGTAATTAAAATATTTAGTAAAATCACTTCATGGACTCTCTGATCCTTGTGATCATTTTATCTCAAATGCAGGAGTTCACAGGATTTCTCATCGGCTACTCAGCGAATGTTGAAATAGAGTGAGTCAGTGTATCATGGTTTCAAATTCTGACATCAAGTCAGTTTTACATGTTTGAAATTACAAACTCAGCAACTGTTGGCTCCATACAAGTTTATCATTTCTGTTATGATTTCAATCAATAGACCTCACAAATCCTGTTTGCAAATGCAAAGCACAGACATCCTAGGTCAAATACCTAAACATTAAATAGATTAATGTAGTGGAAAATGAAACACCGAAAGACAACATCCTGGCCACCCACAACTTTCCTGTTCATTTTCTCTTGTCTAGAACATTAAAGTTGTGTATATATAAGGGGTTTATTAGGGTGCTTTTACTTTGAACTATTTGCTGGAGCCAGTGAAGTGATTGAGGATTATACAGACATGATTTGAGGGACATTGCAACTAACTGGACTACAAACATTGAACTTTTAGGTCAATTTTGGTATGAAGGAGATGGCAATAGATACATATCCTCTGATTTCCATAACACATTTAACTACTCTAAGCTTGGTGTGTGTTCCATTCCATCCTAGTGGGACCAAATTCATTTCTGAAAATTAAGATATTTTGTTAATCTGCTCCAAATACCATTACCTATGATTTTATAACAAACTTTTAAGAAAACAGATTTAAATGCCTACAAGAAAAAAAAACCCTCATCCATAGAATCTATCTCACTTTACTCAGAAACATCATGTAATGAATTTTTCTGTAGCAGTCACTTTTGCAATTTATAAATACAACTATGGTCTTTCCAATGTGAACACTTTCCCTGTGATCTCCTCCATAGTTAAACAAGAGGCAACAACCCTCAACAATAGTCAGGTAAAAATAAATCACAACAAAAACACACACAAGTATAAAAGAGGAGCATAAGCAATATTAAAGTTAACCAGCACAAATCCTATTCATACAGACAATTTACATATGATTTTACTATTTATCTTACTCATTAAAAAATGAGTGATTATAGTACGCTTGTCCTTCCTTGATACATATATGGTTATTTATAGAAATACCACACAGAGTATGCCATCAATTATAATTTATATTTACACTTGTGCTAAATTGGCTGCTGCATGGCCACACAGCTTACAGCAGTGGTTCTCAACTCGTTTCAGTCCACGGACCACCAGGCCAATCAAAACATTTTCATGGACCACCTCCATTCTGAGACATGATAAAAAAAGAGCAGACAACGAACATTTTGGTTTGAAATTTATTTTTTACTAACAGATTTTTGGATTATCTTCTCACTGACAAGCTTTTCAATGTTTGGAGTGGTACTTGATAATGCACAACAAATATCACTTTCCACTGCAAGCCAATTCCTCTGTTTCATTTTAATGGGCAACAAACACGAAAATCCAGTCTCTCACATATAAGTTGACGCAAATGGCAAAAGAAATCTGACTGCATGTGCTGACAGATTTGGGTAACTCCCAGTCACGCTGGCCCAAAACTTCTCTATAGTAGACTGCTGGTACACCTCTTAAGCCACAAAATCATTTTTCAGATCCAAGAATTCCTCTTGCAGATCCTCTGGAACACTATTAACATCTGTTGTAAATGGATTCCTGATGAAAGATAATCTATCCCTTGTCCTGTCCACCTCCGGAAAGTATAGTTGGAATTCCATAAATGATCGAGAATTTGCGTCCGAAATGGCTTCCTTTTCCCCGAGCATGGCATCCACCTATGGAAACTGAACCAAATTATTGCCTTCAACTCTTACGATCCAGAGTTCCAATTTTTCAAGAAAAGCCTTGATGATGCTTTTGTGAGAGAACAGATTTGTACCTTTCCCTTGCAGCTGAAGATTCAGTTTGTTCAAGATTCCAAAAATATCAACAAGATACGCAAGTTTTAAATTTGACTGCATCAGCACATTTCGGAATTCCTCTTTCCTTTGATCCTGGAGAAATAAATGCAACTTCTCTCTCAATTGAAAAACTCTGTTGAGTACATTCCCTGCTGACAACCACCAGAACAGCAACACATCCAAGTCAGAACCCATGTCCAGGAAAAATCTTTTGAACAGCCTGGTGTTCAGAGCTGATGATTTGAGTGATTCACCACTTTCACCAACCCTTTGAAAACAGCATTCAGTTGATCAGGCAATAGTTCACCAGCATTTGGAAGCCCAAACTTGAGCCCAGCATGGGAGGTGCATCACTGGTGACACCCACAAGATTTACCCAATCCAGACCATGTACTTCAAAGAAATTGTTAACAATTTCCATCATATCCTGAGCCTTTATGGTAGTATCAAGAGACTTACAAAAAAGAAACTCGTCTTTGAAGTCTCCCTCAACCATGTATCGTGCGAACACCAATAGCTGAGAGCACAATACGACGTCGGTTGAGTCATCCAATTGTATGGCAAACAATGGAGACTTCTTTATTTCATCCACAACTTGTTCACTGATGTTCTGTGATATCTCATTTAACCGTCTCGATACTGTGTCGCTAGAGACAGATATATCATTCAGCTTCCTTGCTGCTTCCTCGCCAAGAACAAGC